GGAATGCAAAAGTTGATTGAAAGATTTTGGTAAACAGGTTGAAAGAGTTCATCAAGGAACATTTGATTGATATCCCAAGGACTCAGGCTGCCCCACCTCGTGCAGCGGTCCAGCCACAGTTGCCTACTGCAGCACCTGCCACATACAATGACCCCGGTGCCATGCTTGCTGGACTGCTATGAGAAGTAAAAAAACAAAGCAATAGTGTTTTGATGTACATGACAGTTGTTTAATACGAGGATCTAACATCTCCACAAGCATCTTGCTGCCAAGACGAACACGTGGAGCAACAAAAGGGCTGGCGGAGTAGTCTTCAGCTGGATTCTAAACCGAGAAAGAAGCTAGATTCTTTTGGGCGGTTTCAAGGCCCCCCTTCCCATCCATGGAGCAGTTGCCATATTGTGTAAGCGTAATTTGTTGTTTCTCATTGTCATCCCCTTTTGGCCCATTTGTATAACTTGTATTGCCCAGGTCTGGTGGTGGATAATCGGTAGTTTTGTGTGTTAATATAAGGTGCTAGGTTTTCCACCATGCGGATTGTAAAGTTGCCTTTAGTGCGCATTGCATTACGATTTGTACCAATAAGGTCGGAATAGGGAAAGGAAATTAATAGAGGTTTTGTTTTGTGCATGTTTTATGGTTTGCATAGCTCCGAATCTCCGATGGTGCCTACTTTGTATGATAACAATAGTTAGACAAGCGATGGTGTGAACAACACTTGCTGGAGGAAAGTCGTTGAACTAACTAATTACACTGACTTCTGTTTTGAATCGAAAAGCGAAATACACGGGACTGTGTGTCCGATTGATGTACGTACGCCCCGCCAGGCCGCCATGTCGAGCTACATCATGGTTGGCCCTGGGCCTTGTTCCAAGGTTCCCAAGGCCCAATTGCACAAACCTATCGCCTTTTTCCCCCTTTTTTTATACCCCTTACTTTTGTATCTAAGAAGACGGAAGGAAAGATTTCGCATTTCGATTAGGAAAGCGTAGTTTTGTCGTCCTTGGTAGCTCCGACTTGTACTTTTCTAAACATCCAGTGACGAGTCGCTACTGCACACATGTGTCTTCGTCTTATACACGACACTTGTACGGTAGATATAAGCGATAACAACACTTGCTGGATGAAGAAAGTCACTGAAGTAAGTAATTGCTGCATCCAAATCCCAATTCCCCAACGGTGGTAAATCACATCACCAAAGAAAAGAAGAAAACGGGGGCACAAAGCCGTGGGGGCACTCCACTCCCTGAGTGATATATACCTAGCCTAGGCCTAGCTACGATATATCCATCCCGTATCGGAGCATGGCCTCGTTTAGTTCCGTCGAATTGTCCAATTGTTGACTAATTAGGTTTAAAACGTTCGTCTCGCAAAGTACAACCAAACTGTGCAATTAGTTTTTGATTTCGTCAATATTTAGTACTTCATGCATGTACCGTAAATTTAATATGATGGGAAATTTTTTTTTTTTTACATAGTATCGAATTCTGGAATCCGGAGCAAACTAAACGCGGCCCATGTGACATGTCAGTTGCCATCAATCAACGATATATACAGATGCCCGAACGGTTGCCGTCGCTGTCGCCGGGAGATGGCCAGTAGCTGTTCGCTGCTTCGTTGGCGATACGATACGCTCGGCCTTCCTGTTGGCCCCACCCACCTGCGATGCTGCGATCCTTCCACAAGGAACACATGCTGCTGCTGCTGCGCCCGTTGGCACCCCGCAGCAGGCGTCGCTCCGTTTTCTTCTTCTGCTGTCACGAGGACATCACTCGCTTGGGAGGACGCAATCGGCGTTAGCGTCGCATTTCCTGTCACGAGGGCGAATGGGCGACGATAAGATCGATCGTCCCCTCGTGCTTGAAAATGGACCCGTTGCTTCTTTTTCTCCGGGACAAACAGTCGGAGGCTTTGCAAGGCGCCAGCGTCCACGCGATCAAGGCGCTGCTGATCCATAGACGATGGGATGGCCGTTTTTTCCTCTTCTTCTTCTACGGAGTATACTATTAAATAAATACAAATCAAATAAAAAAGCATATCACTCACTTAGTTTTATTTATTTACTTACTTTCGATAACAATAAATAAAGGATGCAGTCGGCATTAACTTCACATTTCCTGTTATAACGGCGACGAGCCTAATCTCGTACGTGAAGCTAGGCTCTATTTGGATACCTCCAATCTGGTTCTTAAAAACCGGGTGAAATCTAAATAGGCTAGTTTTTGTTTTTTCTAGTTAATTTTGTCAGATTCTTAAAAACTAAGAAGATGTTGATCCTTATGTTTTGCTAGTTTTATGTGACACTATGAGCAATAAATGAAGCAAGATTCTTATAAACCAGAGGATCCAAACATCCCCACCATTTTTTTCTCCGAATCCAGATTTTATAAACTAGAGATCAAAACCGGTTTTTAAATATCTGAAACTCATCCAAACGGCCCCTAGACCCGCTGCATCCCTTTCTCTACGACGACAGCCGCGGGCGTGCAAGAAGCCAACGTCCACGCGATCGAGGCACTGCTGATCCATAGGTGATGGGATGGCCGTTTTTTCCTCTTCTTCTATTGAATAAATACAAATAAAATCAAAAGCACATCACTCACTTAGTTTTATTTATTTACTAACTTTTGATAGCAATAAATAAAGGACAATGCCAGCGTTAACGTCACGTTTTCTGTCATGAGAAGGCGACGAGAACGTACCCTCGTACGTGAAATTGGACCCGTTTGCATCCAATTCAGAACTAAGAAGCTAGGCTCTATTTGGATACCTCCAATCTGATTCTTCAAAACCGGATGGAATCTAAATAGGCTAGTTTTTGTCCAGTTTCTAGTGCTAGTTTTTGTCAGATTCTTAAAAACTAAGAAGCTGTTGATACCCAGGTTTTGCTAGTTTTTTGTGACCCTGTGAGCAATAAATAAAGCAAGATTCTTATAAACCAGAGGATCCAAACATCCCCACCATTTTTTTCTCCGAATCCAGATTTTATAAACTAGAGATCAAAACCGGTTTTTAAATATCTGAAACTCATCCAAACGGCCCCTAGACCCATTGCATCCCTTTCTCTACGACGACAGCCGCGGGCGTGCAAGAAGCCAACGTCCACGCGATCGAGGCACTGCTGATCCATAGATGATGGGATGGCCGTTTTTTTCTCATCTTCTATTGAATAAATACAAATAAAATAAAAAGCACATCACTCACTTAGTTTTATTTATTTACTAATTTTTGATAGCAATAAATAAAGGACAATGCCAGCGTTAACGTCACGTTTTCTGTCGTGAGAAGGCGACGAGAACGTACCCTCGTACGTGAAATTGGACCCGTTTGCATCCTTTTGGCCGGGACAACAGCCGCGGGACGTGCAAGGTGCCAGCGTCCACGCAACCGATGGGGGATGGCATCGGGATGCCCGCCGCTAGCCGTGGTGGAGACGTGGCGCCAAATAGGCAAATGTACCTTTGTCATTTTGCGTCGCGCACGGATGCTGATGCTGCTTCAGCTTCTTCTTCCTCCAGTCCGTCTGTCCCAAAAGAAACACCAAAGCGTGTCACCGTCACTACTTTTGCTGTTTTGCTAGCTGATAATGATAATAATAAAGCACATAAATACTACGTTAGTCTTCAGCTTGTTCGTTTCGGCTGAAACGATCGTGGATTATTACTATTGGTTTAATGTAAGAGAAAAATACCGTTTTAACTTATAATCTACGATCGTTTACGACCGAACGAACATGCTGCTTTTCTTTGACCCGCGGTGGCTGAGCGGCGGTGGAAAGAGAGACAGCAAAATGCACCAAAAAAAGAAAAGAAAAGAAGAAGCAAAGGAGAGAGAGGCAGAGAGCTGGGATCAGAAAAGCGAGGGTCGACGAGCAAGCATCTCACATTCCGAGCGGTCTGCAGCTGTCGTGCTCCTCCTCGGCTCCTACTACTACCAGTCTATAGTCTGGTTGGTCCACGCTTAGGGAGGGAGGGACGGACGGCGCCAGGAATCTGCATGTCCTGGGCGGAGGCGACGGCTTGGTGGTGGTGGTGGACTGGCGGTGGCTGGCTCCAGCTTAGTTCCAGCCGACCGAGTCCAGTCAAAGCAACCATTGGAGAGGAGTATCCGAGTATGGACCGAGTCCAGCGTTACGTTCGCTTGGCTTATAAGTCATCCTAACAAATCATCCAATAGTGGTTTCGTTCGGCTTGCTAAATTTTAGCTGAAATTGGCTGAAAACACTGTTCTGGTTAAATTATTGTGAGAGAAAAATACTCTTCTAGCTGAAAAAAACCCCGAACAAACCAGATACGGGATAAGCTGAACTGGGCCGATTTCAGCCAAGCGAATAGGCCAAAAACAAAAGGGGCCTGTTGCTGCTGCCCCCGGGCCATGCCGCGCCGAGTCCAGTCTGCAGCGTGCGCTAGGCTAGTCCGCCCCTCCCACGTCCCGTCTCTATCACTCGGACGCCGTCTCGCTCGCGCTCCCAGCGCGAAATCCCCGAGTCCGCGGGGGCCGAACCGGGAAATCCTCGGCCTCCCTGGCCCCCGTCCCGCGTGATGTGTCACCCTCACCGTGTGTCCAATTACGGCCCCACAGCGGCTGGACGCCTGGACACAACGCGCGGATCGTGGTCGCGTAGTCGCGTGCGCTCCCACCGGCCCAACCCCCTGCAAGCGGACGGCAGCAGCTGACGCCGACCGCACCTCCGCCGAATCATTCCCAGGGAGGGGAGAGGAAGCACAGCAGCTCTCGCTTTCTCCCCTCCCTCCCCCCACCCCCACGCGCCCACAGGGGCAGGGCAGGGAAAGGGAAGCAGGGGGCAGTAGGCTCACGGGTAGTCATCGCACGCGAGTACGCGACGCGAGAGCCCAGCAGCAGCAGCAGCACGGGATTAGACGAGACCGCCGCGGCGGGAGACGAGGAGGAAGACGTCGTCCCTCCCCCCGTGGTCGACGACGACCGCTCCCACGCTCCCCGGCCGCGGCGACGCTGCGGGCCCTAAACCCTACCGATCCATGGAGGACGCCGCGCCCGATGGGGCCCCGCAGGCGTCCCCGGCCCCCGCGGAGGCCGACTGGCCGCCCGAGCTCCGCCTCCCGCCGCCGCCGCCCCCCGCGGACCCGCCGCCGCTGCTGCCACCTCCGGGGACGGACGATCCGCACTTCCTGAGCTCGATCATCGGGGACGCGGCGGCCCCACCCCCGCCCCCGCCGCCTCCGCTGCCGCTCGGGCAGAAGCGGAAGCGGGGGAGGCCGCCCAAGAGGAAGGACGGCGCTGGCGCGGCATCGGGCGCGGGGGCAGTGGTACCGGCGCAGCCGCCCGCCCGGGCCGCCAGGAGGAGGGAGGACGAGGAGGAGGTCGTCTGCTTCATCTGCTTCGACGGGGGCAACCTCGTCGTCTGCGATCGGAGGTGGGTGCCCGTGCAGCGCGCGCTCCTGCTCCCCCTCCGTGTTGACTGCGGGAACGCGTCGTGGGAGTTCTCCGAGGCTCTCTGCCCCGCACGTGTTGCCTCCGCAATTGCGCGCTCGAATTTTGTTTTCTCTCTCTTGCGGATTGCCGGATTGGGGATTGACTAACCCGCCTGCTCGTCGTCTCTGTTTCTTACTCCAGGGGTTGCCCCAAGGTCTACCATCCGGCGTGCATCAAGCGTGACGAGGCATTCTTCCAGTCCCGGAGCAAGTGGAACTGCGGTGAGTTTCATTCATCCAGTGCTTAAACCTGTTGTGGCAGGGTGGGATTATTTCGCATTTCTTGCTGCGCAATTCTAAAACCCAAAATTAGGAATCATGCATGTGTTACTGGTTATATTTCTTTTTCCTAGCAATTGTGTGAAGCGAATATTGGTTGGTTGGCGATTGGATACACTTGCAGACAATGCTATTTTTGAACTGATTTAGAGATGCGCATGCTTTGCACGGGGCTCGTGTGTCGCTAGCTTCTCCGACAATGCTAACGGACTTAGGTTCCCGATATTGAGACAATAATCCTGCCTCTACCAATCAGATGGCTCGTATCATGAGTTCGTGCACGCTTTCCACGGGGCTCGTGTGTCGCTAGTTTCTCAGACAATGCTAACGGACTTAGGTTCCCGATATTGAGACAATAATCCTGCCTCTACCAATCAGATGGCTCGTATCATGAGTTCGTGCACGCTTTCCACGGGACTCGTGTGTCGCTAGCTTCTCGGACAATGCTAACGGACTTAGGTTCCCGATATTGAGACAATAATCCTGCCTCTACCAATCAGATGGCTCGTATCATGAGTTCGCGCATGCTTTCCATGGGACTCGTGTGCCGCTAGCTTCTCGGACAATGCTAATGGACTTAGGTTCCCGATATTGAGACAATAATCTTGCCTCTACCAATCAGATGGCTCGTATCATGAGTTTGCATTCCCTTACTTTGAGTGGGGTTACCATTCCGTACACTGCCACGCTAGAAACGTGAATAGCTAACATGGTAAGTGATAACTGATAGCTAAGAAGACAGGTCCAAAGGGAAAGTAGAATACATCACGTGTGGTGGAGAACAGTCACGTGCACAGTAACTGAGTTCCCAGATCGATTGGGTCAAGGAACGTGGTATGCTACTTCAGGAAGGTTTTGCCAAGGCCGGGACGAGATTGTTTCCTCGATCCCAGGACAAGGAACGTGCCATCGTACCACTTCCCTGGTGACACTGGTCACGTGTCATGTTAAGGGCAATAAATAGTCTTGATCAACCTTTTGTGTGCTTCATTGTATTTACACGTGCGATTCAATTCATTAACCTAGTATCATCAGTATGAATGCTCAACTGCCTATCTTTTATCATTGAAGAATTCCTGTTTTCCGCGCTCCCAGGACAAGGAACGTGGCATCGTACCACTTCCCTGGTGACACTGGTCACGTGTCATGTCATGGGCAATAAATAATCTTGATTACAACACCTTTTGTGTGCTTCATTGTATTCACACGTGTGATTCGATTCATGAACCTAGTATCTTCAGTATGAATGCTCAACTGCCTATCTTTTATCATTGAAGAATTCCTGTTTTCGTCTGCAGAAGTTTCTGGGATGTGTTTGTGTAGGCTCTTTGCGTGGTTACATTCAGTTCTTGGGATTGTGATTGTCTAGTTCTGTTCCTCCTTTTTTATGCAAATGTACAAACCGGTATGTTTTTGTTTTTGAGGTGTACCATGTTGTTGTTTGTGAGGGTGTGATGATAACTGATGCGTAGTTCCGTAATGAAGCTCAGCTTGTTCGGATTTTTGATAGTAGAAGATGGAGTATGTATCTTAATGCGATGTTTAACCTTGAAATGGTAAACCCGCTTAACTGTTTGTTCTGTGTTTCTTGTCGTTTTGTATGCCAGGCTGGCACATATGCAGCAGCTGTGAAAAGGCAGTGCACTACATGTGCTACACTTGTACATACTCCCTCTGCAAAGTGTGCATCAAGCAGGGTAAATTCTTCAGTGTCAGGGGAACAAAGGGCTTCTGCGATACATGTTATGGGACTATACTTTTGATAGAATCCAAAGATGAAAGTGCAACAAAGGTAAACCTCATAAACATGTTTCAGTTCAACTTTTTAGCAAGTTGGTCATTCACTCGCTCCTGTTCTTTGAGAGATTAATATTTATTCTTTGCCTATCTTGCCCACAAGCCGCACTGTCCTGCTTAGCACCGAACCTCATATGGTCCATACTTTGAGAAACTAAATATTTCACATATGATTTGATGCACTTCCCTACATGCTCAATTGACCCTTTCTTTTTCATGCTATGTGTCTATTGCAGGTTGATTTTGATGACATACTCAGCTGGGAGTACCTGTTCAAGCTATATTGGTTAGATCTGAAAGGGAAGCTTTCATTAACATTGGAAGAACTTACTACTGCCAAGAACAGATGGAATGTCCCTAGCACTTCTGCTAGGAAAGAAAAAGAGGAGTCGTCTGATGACCTGTATGACGCTAATGATGATGATGATGCTGGTTCTGACTGCTGCTCAAGAAAACGAAGGCAAACTAATTCAAGGAAAAAGGGTCAAAAACGCCGAAAGATAAATAAAGATTGTAGCACTGCTGCAAAAAAGGTTGAGCTTCCAACTAGAAATACTGAGAGCGTTCCCACGGAAGTGCCAAATGAACGGGTGCCATTGCCAGTACACACAAAAGTACCAAATGGACGGATACCCTTGCCAGTAGACACAAAAGTACCAAATGAACCAGTGCCCTTGCCACCAAACATGAAATGGGCATCACCAGAGCTATTGGAGTTTATAGGACACATGAGAGATGGCGATCAATCTTTCATTTCTCCGTTTGATGTTCAGACTCTTCTGCTTGATTATATCAAGAAGAATAACCTTCGCGATCCTCAGAGGAAAAGCCAAATTATTTGTGACTCGAGACTTCACCGCTTGTTCAGGAAAGCACGAGTTGCTCACTTTGAGATGTTAAAGCTTTTGGAAATGCATTTTCCTATGAATGAGACTTCAACAGTATCTGATAGTAGCCAAGTGACTATCAATCTCAATTCAGCACATGTAGATACCAATGGATACAATGACATGGCTGCAAAATTTTCTCCTGATAAGAGGAGAAGGATCCATAGAAAGATGGAAAGAGATACACAAGTTAATCTTGAGGATTATGCAGCAATTGACATGCATAATATAAATTTGATTTACATGAGGCGCAGCCTGATGGAGGATTTTATTGATGATGCCAAATTCTCAGACAAAATTCATGGTGGTTTTGTGAGGATAAAAATTTCTGATGTGTGCCAGAGACAAGACATATATCGTCTCGTAAAAGTTATTGGTAAGATAATTTACTTCTTTATTAAATTTATTCTTAAAGTTTGTTTTAATGGTGAGCTATTTTTTTTTTTCATTTTCTTTCTTTTCTTTTTGCAGGAACACACAAGGTTCCAGAAAAGTATAGCATTGGAAAGAAGATGACAAATTTTGCACTCGAGATATTGAATTTAAACAAAAAGGAGATTATTACAATGGATACAATATCTAATCATGATTTTACAGAGGTTAACATCTTTTACTTACTGTCCTGTCTGATGTTTAGCTCCCAGAGGTAGCATTTTTAGAAGTCCTTGTTTGATTTTATTGTCTAGTTTGTGTTGTTGAATGCTTGGTATTTATGGCCGTACCTTTTTACCCAAGGGGGAATATGATCAAATTCTAGTTCTTCCTTCCAAGTTAGAGGCGGTAGCGGTACTCTTAGTTGAACTACATTGGGTTTCATTTTTACCTCTTTTTGATATTTACATTTGCTTGTGTAGGAGGAGTGCAAACGTTTAAGGCAGAGCATGAAGTGTGGTGTAATTAGCAGACTAAAAGTGGTACTGCTACATGGGACTGAACACTTGTGACCTAATTTCGTTTTGGCCCATCAGATATGTGTAGGTTTGATTTGTGTTTGTTTTGTATTATTAATGCAGGGGGATATCCTAGAGAAAGCCATGATATTGCAATCTGTAAGAGTGAATGATGTAAGGACAACTCGACATGTATACAATGATCGTTTTTTTTCTTCAAAAGATCTCAAACTTGACTTACTGGTATTTATAATCTTTACAGTGGTTTGAAAATGAAAAGCAGAGGCTTGGGCATCTTCGTGATCGTGCAAGCGAAACTGGGCGCAGAAAAGAATATCCTATTGACCATATTATGATGTGTGATGCCTTTATTATCACTTATAATGTTTTTCATTGACTGAATTGCCATTTCTTGATTTCTGGATCCTTATTCGCTCCTTCCTAAAATTGGCTATGCTTCATTTATAATTTTATTTAACTTAGGGCAGCTCCCATTTTCTTGTCATAGCTTGGCAGTAGAGAGGCATGCTTCTAATAACTTGTAATCCTCTGCTCAGGAATTGTGAATATTCGTGATAATCAAGTACAGCTTTATTTTTGTTATAGAACTATAGGCAACTACTTGTACTGCATGCTTCATTATTTTGTGATCCTTGACTGTATCATACACTTAGAGAATATGTAGAAAAGCTGCAGCTTCTCGACAATTCTGAGGAAAGAACTCGTAGGATTAATGAAGTTCTGGAAGTGCATGTTGATCCACATATGGATCCTAATTATGAGTCTGCTGAAGAAACAGATGAGAAAAGAACTGGTATATATCTTCCTGTAATGTTAATGCTTCAAGTTGCATGTTGATTAATAAATATTGGAATGTAACTATTTCTCTTGTATCGAATAAATCTTGCAACTGTAGCATAATTTCATGTGGTTTGTTGAGTATATTCTAAATATCCATCTAGTATAAGTTTCTGCACTGTAATTTTCTTCCAAAGTTGCAATGCTGTACATTTGAATTTATGTTGTGATAAGCATCAACTCATTAAAATAAATCACATTTCTAAGTCTAAGCGTTGATTAAGTGTAGTGTTTGAGCATTTGCTTGTTTATTATATGCAGTTGCAAAGTCGGTAAATCGGACAAGACCAGATACAACCATATCGCGAAGAATATCAAGATATCTTAGCACTAAGCAAAACCATCCTCAAAAAGTTTCTGATTCTAGCCACCATCCAAAAAGCTTGTCCACAGAAAGTACAATTTGTGAATCAGGGGCAAGAAGTTTGGAGAACAGCACAGCAAAGAGAACTATGTATGAAGCTGGATCACTTTCATCTTCCGGAGTAACAATGTCAAATGACACAGAGCCGGAGAAAGTCTGGCACTACAAGGATCCTTCTGGGAATGTTCAGGGTCCATTTACTCTTTTGCAACTATCAAAGTGGACAAGTTACTTCCCACGTGATCTGAGAGTATGGCTTACATTTGAGAGTGAAGAGAGATCATTGCTGTTGACTGAAGTGCTTTCAAAACAGCAGAAAGATTTCACTCAGGCTGCATCACATACAAGTAGCAAGGCAACACTGGTTGGCACTGGAGATACAAGGAACAGCCCTAGTGTGGATCAGACCAATGCTTTCACCCCTTTTGGTCATAGCATGGTTAGTTCTTCTGGAATAACTGTTCAGTATAGTAAGTATTCTGTTCCAGAAAGGGAAAGTGTGTACTCTCCAGATGTTAGCTTGTCGCTATCAACTAGTTCGGTTCCACTGAAGGATGCTTATACTGTGAATAGCCAAGCACACTGCCAGAATAAGCATTCTGTTTTCATTCAATCTCCTGGGAGTTCATATGGGCACACAGACTTGAACCATGATGGAATACAGGGATGCTCTGGTGAATCAAACCACCATCACAGCAGTGGAACCCTATGGAGTCCTACCGTGGCACATATGAGTTGTAGTGGACGTGGTAATGTGGAATCTCATCAGAATCAGTACGTTTCCTGGTCACAAAGTCAACATGAATCTAAAAATAGTTCACAAAGAGGACCTGTTAAAGATCTGATGAATTCAAGGCGGGATCTATCGAAAAATCTACCTACTCAACGTATCGGGAAAGATGTATCCAGTCCTTTGTTTGCTTGGAGTCCGGCCGAGTCGAGGACAGCTTCAAGTCAACATGAAGGCTCTTGCTTAAGTTCAACACCTAATCCAAGCTTTCTCGATGAACTTCATTCTTCTATTGCTTCTGCAAAGCCTAAGAGCTGTGCTCCAGCAACCGCTATTGAAGACAGAGGTTCTAGTTCACCATCTGGCATGCTGAGTCATGCAGAAAGAGTTCCAATCTGCAGTCCACAATCAGCCCCTTCGGCATCTGCTTCCGATATGTGTAAGATGGATATCACGAATCAGCAAAGAACACTTGAGGCGGATACATCGAATGCTTCAGTTAACCAGTCTCCGGAATCAAAGATTTTCCCTGTATCCTCTCCTGATAACCGAGATATTGACCATGAGTTTCCTAATCCAGTTCCAAGATCTGAGAATAAGGACATTGCGGTTGACAGCTCAGGATTAACACCAGCATCACCTGAAAATATTACTACGAATTTGCCTGGTTCAGATACATCCAAGATGGAGGAGGTCGTGAGTCAGCAACAAGTAATTGGGGCTGTTGTATTGAATTCTTCAGATAGTCATTCTCCTCACTCTAAGGTTTCCCCTGTATCTTCTCCTAATAACGAAGATAAGAAACATGAATACCCCAGTTCTACCCCAAGGTCTGAGAATAAGATTCCTGCTGTGGACAGTTTACTTTCAACATCAGCTGCTCCTGAAAATCTAACGACAACTTCTGCCCATGATTCTGATACATGCAAAATGGAGGAGTTAGTGAATCAGCCAAAAACACTTGAAGCAGATGCATCAAATGCTCCACTTTGTCAACCTCCTCATTCTCACATTTTCCCGGTACCTTCTGACAATCAAGATATAGAGCGTGAATGTCCAAGTCCAACTCCAATTTCTGACAGTAAGGATCCTCTTGTGAACAACTCAGCGACAACTTCTGCATCAGCCTCTGATACAAGCAAAATGGAGGAGTTTGTGAATCAGCAAAAAACACTTGAAGCAGATGCATCAAATGCTCCACTTAATCAGTCTCCTCATTCTCACATTTTCCCAGTACCTTCTGACAATCAAGATATTGAGCGTGAATGTCCAGGTCCAACTCCAAGATCTGACACTAAGGAACTTCTTGTGAACAACTCAGTGTTAACATCATCAGCACCTGAAATTCTAACGACAACCTCTGCAGCCTCTGATACATGCAAAATGGAGGAGTCAGTGAATCAGCAAAAAACGCTTGAAGCAGATGCTTCAAATGCTCCACTTAATCATCATCCTCATTCTCACAGTGTTCCTGTATCTTCTGATAATCAAGACATTCAGCGTGAATGTCCTAGCCCAACTCCAAAATCTGACAGTAAGGAACCTCTTGTGGACAACTCAGTATTAACATCAGCGGCGCCTGAAATGCTAGCGACAACTTCTGCCTCTGATACATGCAAAATGGAGGAGTTTGTGAATCAGCAAAAAGCACTTGAAGCGGATGCAACAAATGCTTCACTTAACCAGCCTCCTCACATTTTCACTATATCTTCCGATAATCAAGATATTGAGCGTGAATGTCCTAGCCCAACTCCAAGGTCTGACTGTAAGGAACCTCTTATGGACAACTCAGTATTTACATCAGTGGCGCCTGGAATTCTAGCAACATCTTCTGCTTCTGCTTCTGCTTCTGGTACATGCAAAATGGAGGAGTTTGTGAATCAGCAAAGACCAATTGAAGCGGATGCATCAAATGCTTCACTTAATCAACCTCCTCACTCTAGCGTTTTCGCTTCATCTTCTGGTGATAACCAAGATAATGCGTGTGAACGTCCTAGTCCAAGTCCAAGATCTGAGGGTGAGCAGCCTCTCATGGATAACTCAGGGTTAACATCAACAGTGCCTCAAAATCTAACTTCTACTTCTGCATCTGCTTCTGAGATATGCAAAGAGATCTTGAATGAGAAAAGAATACTTGAAGCAAACCCATCAAATGGTTTGATTACTCAATCTCCTCAATCCATGGTTTTCCTTGTACCATCTCCTGATATCCTAGAGCGTGGATTTTCTAGTGAAACGCCTAGGCCTGAGTTTAAGGAACCTGTTGTGGACAGCTCTGGGTTAACATCAGCAGCACCTGAAAATTTAATGACTAAGCAACATGTCCACTCATCAGATGCCTTTGTACCACCAAAGTCTGGTGCTCCAACTGGGGAATTAGGCGACGCGAAATTAGATTTTAAAGGTGAAGAAATTATTCAAAAAGAACAATATTGTGAGAGTGAATCTATTGTTGCTACAAGAAAGAATTTGTTAATTGATCCTTCCTTTGGTGCTGAGTCGATAGATGTGTCAGATGTATTGGAATCCTTAATGGAAGAAAGGGGTGGAACTTCGTACATGCCAGGATCAGTAGAGGACTTCCTAGCCGCTTCAGCCGAGGAAGAACCACACTACTCAAGCCCTATCGCATTATCTCCTTGGGGTGAACCTAGTTACTACCAAGGTGATGCTGTTAATTCTGCACTATGGGGTATTCAAGATTCGATCAATGATATGTGGCCATTGCTTTCACCAAGACCTATGCTCCAACCTTCATCTGGTTAGTCAGCGTGTCGATGATTAGCATTTCCAGAACTCTCCATTAATTCTATTCTATTGTTGAATCATTTGTTTTCTCTCCACCAGGTATTGGAACTGAGGGGAAGGAAACTTATGATATCAACGAGGTGGCTGTGACCCATGTTAATAGTGATTTTTTTCAAAGAGGATCAATGATTGGGGAGGAAAATGTGAACCAGGCTAACTTGAGTGCTGTTGCAGATTGGATGCTGTCTGATCAGGTAATGGTGTTGCAATATTTTAATGTCATTTATTTCCTGTATGCTTTTCATATGACATTGTGTTTTTCACTACTTTAGGTCCCATCAATACCAAATGGTATGTCAACATCATCAGTAGATGAGAGCACCAGAGTTTTAGGTTCTCAAGCATCAACCAATCAGAGCTTAGACTGGGGTACTACATGGACTACTAGTCAGAATCTCAGCATGTATAGCAATGAAAAAGCAGAGCCCTCGAGTAAAAGCTATTTGGAAGAATCAAGGAAGCAGGAAACCACCAATTCCAGTGTTTCTATTTCTGGAGAGGCCATTGGAAACAACAAGGGCTTGAACCCTCCTGATAATGCTAATCGGGGCAGCCAACTGAGTCATCATCACCGTGGCAGGTACTCCCAAATCAGTGAATCTTGGCTACTTAGTTCAAATCACTCTAGGAGTAGGTCTGATAGATTTGGCAGCGGTGGGTCATCAAGATCAACTTCAAAGGGACAAACTAGGGGCTAATGTATATTCTCAAGAGCGGGAGAAAGGGTGCATCTTGTAGCTACCTGCATCCTTGATCTCGCAGCAGGAATAGGTTTTAAATTTCTTTGTCATATCTTTGCAGTTTGTATAGGCTAATTACAATTTAGTCAACAGAGCGTAAATGACCATCTCTGCTCCACTCAACTGTAGCAAGGAGCATATGTTTAGCATAGAGGAATGGCTGAATGGCCCTGCCCAAGAAGTAGATTCAGCTCTTGGGCATGGTCTGTATCATCTTGACATTCTGTTGGATGGAACTGCATCTGTACACCGGTATCTCTTGACACCGAAACGCCTGATGTGTTGGAAACAATTATATCTGATTGATTGATTTAGCTTCTGATTTGTTTCGGTGTTGATGGGACGATTTAGCTTACTGATGAACAATGTTCAGTATTCTTGGCTTTCGCAGTTTGATTGGATTTTACAATCATGGATAGCGTTGTGCGATGTTCAGATTGATGATAATTTTACTTAGGAAATTATGTGGAACGGAATAGTTTGCCCACACGTCCTATGATGGTACCACTTTTATCTTGGTGCTTCATATTTGTGGTGAGGATAGTTTGTAAAGTTCATTTGCAGCTGTCGATGTGATAATTGAATACTCTCTCCATCTCGTTTTTTGAGCCAACAAGAGCCAAGTTTGATCAAATATATATAAAAAATGCTAATATTTATAATAGAGAATAAGTATTATTAGATTAATCATACTTGTGAACCTATTCAGAAATACAAATAATGTTACTATATTCTATAATTTTAAGTAAATTAAAATGAGATGACTTACCAAAAACAGGATATGTATTTCCTTTTTTATGATTAAGTATTGTTACTACCTTCGTCCCCAAAAAGATAAAATTGTAGATACTGACTTTAAATATATATACTATGAAAATAAATTTTATCATTAATTTAATAATACTTATTTTGTATTATAAATGTTACTGTTTTTTATCAATTTATAATCAAACTTAAAAATGTTTTACTTCGAAAAAACAAAAAACGCATCTTTTATTAGACGGAAGTACTCGCTCTATTCTAGATTACTTCTAAGATATTGTTTTTAGTATATCTAAACATAATTTATCTCTATACGTAACTCTTTGAATCGCTATTTTCAAGTGCAAGCCACGTCAGCGCTACTCCGTATGGGAATGAAAGAAAAGAAAATCACAGAAACAACAGAGCACTGTACGATTAGTCATCAAGAAACTATAAAGAATTCAGTGATTATTTCGTTCCTTCCACTGTTCCATTTCCATTTGCTTCCCGATGACGATTAGTCATCGTCTAGACAGCTGTAACATTTTTATGTAAATTCGAAAGTATATTCCTCCCTGGATATTTACATCTTTTCTCAAACCTGCTATCGTCAAACTATCTACATCTGTTATTTCCTGGCCTCCGGAAGGGGAACAAAAACAGGATAGTAGGTATTCAGTTCAAGACGCTCCAGGATCTGCTGGGCAGCCGACAGGTACGAAGAATGGCCATCAACAAGCTCGGTAACATCAACCTGTAAATCGTGCACAGTAAATAAACACTAAAAATAATGAAACCTCGCTAAAAAATACAAGAATTATCACCCAGATGCTTACGTTTTCAACGCCAGGTACATCAATGGCCTGGATGCCAGCCAGCCCTTGGGTGAGCAGGCTACGTCGCCCTGTTCGCTTGAGCTTATTCAGAACTACTTTTTAGTTATAGAACATTGTTTTTCTCTCACAACATTTCAGCATAAGTATAAGCATAAGCTAAATTTCAGCATACAGGTGCGACTTAACTGTTTCAGCAATGACTATCCAATTTGAAATCAATCCCATTTTGTTTAGAACCTGTAAGCACTTGAATATGACTCGCACTCCAAGCGAGAACCCAACGAGAGTCACAGGCCTGACCAGTTTAGAATCAGGAAAAAAAGTAGAGAGTTTGCATTTACCTGTCAATAGCAACAGACCATTTACTGTCAATAAACAGCCTGTTCGGTTGGGGCTGAAACGATCGTATACGATCGTGGATTATTACTGCTGCTGACTGGTTTGGTGTGAGAGAAAAATATTGTTCTGGCTGAAAATTTACGATCGTTTACGACCCAGCAAACAGGCCGAAAATCTGTAGCGGCAAGCAACGTAGCAGGCCAAGCAAATGCTGCAAGAAGGCCACTTAAGACGGTTCTCATAGCACCTTGTTTCATCAATTCCATTGCAAGTCCTGCATAATCAACAACAACACTAATTACAAGGTGTTCACTAACAGTAGTGCAAGGCAGAGTACAAAACCCTGAAGATTACTTGATGTCAGCCAATCCTGTATTGCTGTACTCACTGCGATTAGATGCTTGGACTCCCATTGAAGGATGTACCTGTCAAACATTAATCAAAAGTGTAAGTAACAATGCTCCACCCTTATAGCATAGATGTAAAATATGTGACTATGATTCATACAACAAATATGAGAATACATTCCATACTTCTCTAGGTTATCCTTCCAGCCTTCCCAAGGTTTACAGAAATCCTCCTCATCAAATGCAAATCCAGAAACCAGGATGCCAACAGCAAGGCGCTGAAAGAGTTGCCAACATTTACAAAGACCAAATAAGTTTGATTCCAAAATGGGTGAATGGCATTTTAGTCAGAGAGAGAAAAGGGACTTACACCCTGATTATGGTTATCACCAATAGGTTTGAACTCAAATTCTTTCACTTTACCAATTCGTCTTGCCATTTTGGTACCCGTCAAGCCAGCCCCAGCAGCTAATTTGTAAAAACAAAAATCAATTCAAGGAACATTAAAAGCTAAGCACAACACTTGTACACCACTTTCTCTCTCTTTTTTGGGATACTGCATTACAGCTTGTACAGGAAATTCATTTGGGAACAATTTTAATAATTTATAAATGTGTCAGTGCTTATACAGAGGGGTGCATATTCATTATCTGTGTAGGTTTCCTAAGCAATACAGTAACCACCATAAATAATGGAGGCAGTTGTTGCTAACTTAAAACAAATCTTGACTGTTAGACTGCCCAGGACATATATATAATGAAGAAATAAGAGCTCCAGATAATAGCATAAGAGTTTCCAAGGAACATTTATACCAACCTCCAAATGAGGCAGCAACTGCCACGGAGCCAGCAACAGATCCTGCCGCAGCAGCCATAGCAGCAAATCCACTGGCTCCTATGAAAGGGACAAGTGTGCCCAGTGTTGGAGCTAGAGCACCAAATCCTGCAGCAATGGCTGGTGCAGCTAAACCTGTCGGGTCGAAGAGAATGAGAGCATATGTATCACCTGGCGTAGTGTGTCCAAGTGATGCCAAGATGTTCAGAATTTCATTGGATATATTATCTGGAATGCAGTCCTACCCCCAGTAATAGCCAGCAATTCCTCCAGTCAAAGCAGCTAGCGGCACCAATAATCCCCCCACGCTTCCATTTCTCCCACTTGCTTTTCGGTGATGCGTTTTCACGCTCTTGTTCTCGTTCTTTTGACGCCGCCATGGCAGAGCATGCGACCATCACCTCCATAGCTTCCTATAATGCCAGGATTAATGATTACAACTTTACAAGTCAATTCAGGCTGTGGAAATGCAAGGATATGAATGAGTTGAGTTTCTGTTTCTCTCTTGGATGATCTCATATCATTCTTTTTAGTCGAGAATAAACTGCAATCAATTTTCACTCTGCCACACTGAGAAGAAGGGATAACTTGTAATAACCATTTTGATCCACTTGACGTCAAGCCATGCCGCTATCAACCGAAGAGCGACACGATGCCGAGCATCATAGCCCTTCGTGAAGAGCGACGACTTCCTGTCCTCTTCCTCTTGCGAGACGGGTTTATCAGCGATACAGGCGGAGAGAAGCGCATACAGCAACGCCATGTTGCGGTGATCTTTCGCGGGAACATCTTCTAAGGACAACTTGTCGATGCCCAGCAAGTTCTCAGACGAGCCTGCCTCCAGAGACTCCGCCGTCGCAGAGGTACAAGCCCTGGAGTCTTTACACTCGCCTTTGATTTTCAGGTCCAGTACGGTGCAGTGTTAGTGTCGCTACCCAAGCTCATGACCGTCACATCAACTGCTTTCGCCAATGCGAGTTCCTGCTCCAGCTTGTTCGAAGAGCTCTCGCCGTCTTCCTCAAAGAGTATCCTTTCAGCCTTAGAAACTGCAAAACCCCACAGAGTGAAATGAAACGATGGGATACTGCAATAGTGAAAGGGTTAAATATATTCACGACATTGGCACTGAATTTTGAACCCCATTGCAGAGAGATGATTCATGATTGGTTGGCTCAGCAACAGAGATTTGGTAGCAATTTGATGGGGTTGGGGTTGAACCCTACAACTTGAGTGGCCGCCTGTCGCGCGCCGGCAGCTCGTGGGGGAAATTTCGGTGGGGGCGTGGGAGCCGAGGGAACCGTGGGATACGCGATACGAGGAGGTTTGACTTGGGCGACGCTTGCGCGGGAAAAAAATTCCCGCAGCGTGTCTATAGACTCCATCCGCTACATAGGTAACCTCAGCGTGGGCACCGGCGCGTCAGATGCTCACGAGGAACGGACGCTCGGCTTGGCTTCGTCAACTCTTTGGCTCTACATGTACTTCGGCTCCTCCCACGCTACGTTGAGCTCGGTAGTCGGCTTGGCTCCATCCTGAGTAATCGGTTCCTTGGGCCACGTCTCGCTTATCACACACGTCGCGATTAGATCGTGTCTTGCCAACCGCCGGTGGTAGACCTTGGCACCTTGCGCCACCGTCTCCATATATGGACGACGCAGCCGACATTGACAGGAGAAGGAGGCCAGGAAGGTGCTAATCGTCGCGCCGCCGTCTCCATAGACAACGCAACCGACATGATAGGAGAAGGAGGCCAAGAAGATAATTTGTCACCATCCCAAGACAAACCGTCGTCCATGGTTTCTACCTCTGCTGTAGAGCACGACATAGCTAGAGAACAGTTGCTCTCACTTGTGCGTGATAATGACGGCGCGATCAACATTTCGGCGACGGGCTTTGCCATTAACATCAGCTTCCTCGACAATAAGTTCGCCAATATTTCTGACGTCAAACAACACAGCCTTCAACAGCCTTTTAGCAATCGGGTCTCGCCAACAACTTCGGCGTCATCAACAACGTGTTCGCCAATGCTTTGGCTAGGAGTTTCGCCATCAAATTTGGCATCATCAACTTCGCCTTCGCCAACTTTTCGGCTAGGGGCTTCATCGCCAATTCCGGCACCGTCAACTACACCTTCGCCAGGGTTTTGGCAAGGGGATTCAACAACTTCGGCATCATCAAAAATGTTTTCAGCAACATTTCGGCATGAAGTCCCCAACGGCATCTTCGACTTCGACTTCACCGATATTCTAGAGTGAAGCAATCGCCATCGCTATCTTCAAAAGGGGTTGGCGCTGAGCGCATTGGACAAGCAATTCGTCCGAAGACAAAAGCTTTGCCTGGCGACAGTGAGTGAAGGCTTGAAGACACGTTCTGACCATCTACAACTATTTCGACTGGTGTCAACTGCTTCGCCTGCTTCAACCACATCAATGTCTTCTTCGATGAAGGGCTGAATTGTGAGCAAGCCACCAAGGACTAGGCCACGGAGGCACAAGCAAAGGGCGCCATCGAAGACTAGCTGAAGACAAGCCGAAGACTAGTTAGAGACAGAGCAGTCCCTAGACTATCTCTGTATAGACGAAGTTGCATACTGGATCGAGTTGTAATCGGGGCCACATGTTGTATTGAGCTATTGAGTTTTGAACTTTCAATCAAAATCGAATAGCTGAGGGGCTACACTTGGGGTGTGTTATATGTTGGGGACCCGGTTACCATGTTTAGGGCCTAATTACATAGCGTAGGGCTCACAAAATAATATTTGGGAGCCATTTGTGATTTTTTAGTGATGTTTTTATAAATACAAACCCCCAGGTCCATTTGTAGCCCTAGCGGCGTTTCTATAAATACAAACCCTACCGAGGAGCATAAAGAGAACCTCCTCTATAAAAGGGTGACAGAGACTTTTGGGTTGGTAGTTCACTCGCTTGGCTTTCTCCCTTATTCCTCCTTCACTCTCTCATTTTGTTTGCTAGACCAATACATAGTGCCCTACCTAATTGGCAATCTACTTAACAATTCAGCTACATTGTCTAACTTGGTGATTCAATTTGTAAATTTAAGCACTGATACCTTCATGTGATTTGACTCTTTCATTCACTCTCTTTATATTTTATTCTCCAATACGCTCTACAGTTAGTCAAAAAATTCTAAACTTTACACCTTCTTATTCACTATTTAACATATATCTCTTCAAGATTGTATTAAATCACAGTTCAACTACTAAAATGTGGGGAAAGGAACAAACTGTCTACCTAAAAGTTGGTCATTTATTTTATCATATATTAGTGGTTGTTCACAGTTAGGTGTCTAACAATCAGCAATGAACTGACTCGTCTTGACTTCTAATTCAAATTACAAAATATCAGCTCAAGTATGGACTAATGCTCACATTCACGATCTTGGTTTTCATCACACCTTCCATGCAGGTCGCAAATGTATACCCTTGTTCAACAAGAACTGTCAGCATCTTTTTGTAGGTTGCGTTGTCCTTAGAGCCAATGAAGTATAAGGCACGCAAGATGTATACCGAAAAGAGAGGCGACATGTGAAAAGTAAAAACATAGCGGGTTGGAATATGTTATTTTTTTCGAACTAGGGATATCCCCATTTCCATAGCATCACCACGGAAATACAGCAGCAGTTAACAGATAATTCAGAGTAGCATAAGGAGATGCAAGGGAAAGTAAAAAAGTGCGACAGAGGGATCTATGCCCCAGCAACAGAGAACATCCCAGAGAACGGTAACTACTATACTAACAAAAAGACCATCCCAACGGAGTTGGGGGAGAGCAGCACCCCAGGCCTCAGCTTTTCACTCCCTGTCCTGCTGAGCTTCATCATCATCGCTGGTGACGTCTTGCAGTCTGTTGTTCTTCCTGGCGACTTGGCTCTTCATAGACAGTAACTGCACCGCAATCTTGAACATGGTCTCTATACCTTTGACCAATGTTTCCTTGTCCACCTCCTTCTAGAGACCTGCCCAGAACTTCATTAGAGCGCAAGCATGACAGACGATCTCAATGGAGTTACTGAACTTCTTCCCCTCGAAACAAATTTTGTTTCGCATTTTCCAGATCGACCAACATACAACTGCAATACCAACAGCAAAGAATTGCTTTCCATTGGGAATCCATTTCTCGCACCACTTCCAGCTTTGCTGAAAGGAAGATGGGATATCATTGGCCCCCAAGTAGGTAGCAATTGTAGCCCATACCACCTTAGCAACCGAACATGTAAACAGGAGATGAGTTACAGTTTCATGTTGTCGACAAAAATAACAAGAAGGATCACCATTCCATTTTCGTTTGACCATGTTGTCCTTAGTTAATATAGCATCATTTGCTACTAACCACAGAAAGATCTTGATGGGGTGGAATTTTCGCTTTCCAAATATACTTGAAGTGGGGATCTGAGCTTGTCAAAGCATTATATGTTGATTTCACAGAAAATTTACCTCTATTTTCTAGTTTTCAGGAAACCATATCACGTTCGTCCTCTAGTTGGAAGACAGAAACATCATTGAGAATCTTACCCCATTCCAGACTAAGTTCCAGAGTCAACCATCTTGTAAAAGTAACGGAGACCGTTCCACTGATCATTTGATATACAGAAATGTTCTGTTGCTCACAAATCTTAAACAGGTCAGGGGAAAGATTACACAAAGGGTCATCATAAAGCCAAGCATCATCCCAAAAAGATGTTGACTTACCATTTTTAACAATCCTTTTCCTACCTTGAAGATAGATATGTTTGACTTTGAGGAGGTCTGACCAGATAGGAGAGTCAGTTTGTCTGTGTTTCACAGAACAAACTGAGTTCTTCCTCAGGTACTTATATAAAACCAGGTCCTGCCAAAGATCAGATTCACGTTCTAGTTTCCACCACCACTTACAAAGTAGGCTTAGATTCATTTTTCTAATATCTTTTATTTCCAAATGATACCCCCCCCCTCCTTTCTTCTTGCTTTTGCAGATTTTAATCCATTTCACCAAATGATACTTTCTTTTAGAATGGCCACACTGCCAAAAGAAGGTTCTTCTCACTTTATCCATTTCTTTTATCACAGTTTTGGGCAAGAGATAAATTGACATATAATAGATTGGAGTACTGTTCAGACCGGATGAAATCAAAGTTGACCTTCCGGCAATAGACAAAGATCTCTGCCAGATATCTAGTCTTTTAGCATTTTTTCCAGAAGAGGCAGCCAATCAGCAACATGTAATCTACTCGGACTTACTGGTACCCCAAGGTACTTAATAGGGAAGTAGCCAATCTGGCAATTGAAAGTTTCAGCATAGGCAAGAGCCATATCATCACAATCATTAATCAAAACAATTTCACTTTTACTAAAGTTAATCTTTAACCCAGCCATCATCTCATATAGGTAAAGGAGCAACTTCAAATTTCTGGCTTTTTCTAAATCATGTTTAAGACAAATGATGGTGTCGTCAGCGTATTGGAGGATTGCGACCCCATGAGGCACAATATGATCCACTAAGCCCACAATCAGATTATTACTTTGAGCCTGTAGTATCATTCTGGTTAGGTAATCGGCTACAAAGTTAAACAAGATGGGTGATAGAGGTCCCCTTGTCTCACCCCCCTGTGGCTTTTGATGTAGGGGCCTGTCAAATTATTCAACTTTACACTAACTGTTCCACCAGCAATAACTTGCTGAATCCACTTACACCAAATTTCACTAAAGCCTCTGGCTTTTAGGCATGTGAACAACATATTCCAATTCACCTTATCATAAGCTTTTTCGAAGTCAAGTTTTAATACCACACCACATTCTTTTCTTTGCTTAGTTTCATGCAAAATTTCATGAAGGCAAGGACCCCAGACATGATATTTCTGCCTTTTATAAAGGCAGACTGAGCAGGATGGATTAGGTTGTCTGCAAAGGGTTCAATTCTCAAAGTTAACGTTTTGGTGATCAACTTATATAAACAATTTAGAAGGCAGATAGGTCTGTACTGCTGAATCCTAGCAGCATCAGAAATTTTGGGGAGCAGAGTAATAATACCATAGTTGATCCTCCTAATATCAATTTTGCCTTGATGAAAATCAGCGAAAAGTTGGACAATGTCCTTCTTAATAATCTTCCAGCAAGCTTGGTAAAACTCAATAGGGATACTGTCAGGGCCAGCTGCCTTGTTCTTTTCCATTCGGGACAAAGCATGCCATATCTCTGTCTCAAAGAATGGTCTGCAGAGTTGCTCATTATAATGAGCAGACCCATCCCAAATGCCGTCATTGATTTGAATATTGAAATCAGGGGCTGGGCCTGTTGGAATATGTTATAGATGCAAACGTAGCTGATGAGAATATCCTACACACCTTCATAAATCTTGTCGTATTTAGAGTCTGCTAACAAAGCAAAAACAATGAATCCAAAGCCTGCTCAGCCACTTCTTCTGGAGTCAACTTTGGTTTGGATATACGTCATAGAACCAACTATATGGGTTAAGTATTCCAGCAGCATTACCAGCAAACACCCTGCCCATTTTGGCACCGAAACGTCTGATGTGTTGGAAACAGTTATATATGATTGATTGGTTTAGCTTCGATTTGTTCTGGTGTTGATGGAACGATTTAGCTTGCAGATGAACACTGTTAAGTATTCTTGCCTTTCGCGATTTGATTGAATTTTACAAGCATGGATAGCTTTATGCGATGTTTAGATTGATAACAATTTTACTCGGGAAATTATGTGAATAGTTTGCCCATTGATTGACGTCCTGTGATGGTACACTTTTATCTCCGTGTTTCGTTGCCCTGTTCGCTTGGCTGATAAGTTCATGGTTGAAAGTATTGTTGACTGATTTGTTGTGAGAGAAAAATATTGTTCGTTGGCTGATAATCGAATACTCTTCATCTCGCTTTTTGAGTCGATAGGAGCCAAGTTTGATCTAATATATTAAAAAAACTAATATTTATTGTTTCAAAAAATATTAATATTTATAATGGATATAATTAGTATTATTAGATGAATCATAGTAGCGAACCTATTCAGAAATACAAATATTGTTACTATATTATAAAATTTTAATTAAATTAAAATTAGTTGACTTCTCGAAAAATAGGATATGTATTTCCTTTCGATAATGATTCCACACGAGCGTCCGTACAGATGGAGGCGTCTCCCCCACTCGCTATCACGTCTTTGCTCTCTCTCGTCCGTACCCTGTAGAAAAAATAAAATTCTCCACCGCGCCCTCTCTCGCTCCTACCCACCTCCACCGTGCTACCTGCTCGTGCGCGCTCGTGCTTGCCCGGCCGCGCCCCACCGCGCTGTCTGCTCGTCGCGGCCGGCCCGCTCGCTGTGGCCACCTTGGCCCGCTCACTGTGGCTACCTCCACCGATCTGGCGAGCCACGGCCGCCTCCACCGAGCGAGCCGGTGAGCCTTCACGACGGTTGCTCCAGCAAGCAGGCGAGGGGGATGGGCTTCGTTTGAAGCCGTCCCGTCGAGCTCTATGTGCCGCTGTCGACCTCCACAACGACAAGCCTCCATTCGTCTAAGCAACAAGATGACATTACTTTGAAAGTCCATGTTGTAAGCGTATGTTTCAAGTATTTCAGATGTTTCATCTGGATGTTGTAAGTGTTTTATCTTGATGCTGCAAAAGTAGATCAGGATGTTACACATGTTGCAATGGCTATATATGTATGTTCCAAGTGTATGTTCCGAATGTTTTATCTGTTTTTCTAAACGTATGTTTACAAGTGTTTCATCTGGATGTTACACATGTTTTTGCAAGTGTTTTAGACGTATGTTCGCAAGTGTTTTAGTTGTTTCCGTACGTATATTGCAAGTGTTTTATCTGGATGTTTCAAAAGTAGATCTAGTGTTGCAGCAAGTGTTTCGTATGCATATTTCAAGTGTTTCATCTCCTTTCAGACGTATGATGCAAGTGTTGCATTTGGGTGTTTTAAAAGTAGATCATGTGTTTTATCTCCCTCTTTGCTTTTCTGCTGCCTCGCATTAGTCTCTTCCTCCTCCGGCGTCGGCTGGGCATGCGCCGCCTCTCCCTCTCTTTCTCGATGTTGGTGATGCTCGGGCCGATGCAGGCCCTACGTGGGCGCGCGAAACGGCATGGGAAACGACTGCATGTGCAAGCGTCCATGCGCGGGCGTTCGGACGCCCCATCCGTCCAGACGTCCTGGCGCTAGTAGTTCCGATTTTCTTTTTATGAGAAAGTATTGTTACTACCTTCGTCCAAAAAAAGATACAATTATAGATACTATGACTTTGAATATATATACTATGAAAATAAATTTTATCATTAACTAATAATTATTTTATATCATAAATGTTACTGTTTTTTCCAATTTATTAATTAAACTTAAAAATAGGCTTCTAGAAAACAAAAAATGCATCTTTTATTGGACGGAAGTACTCCCTCCATTCTAGATTACTTATAAGATATTGTTTTTACCATATATTTAAACATAATATACCTCTGTATGTAACTCTTCGAATCGCTATTTTTAAGTGTAAGCCACGTCAGCGCTACTCCGTATAGGAATGAAAGAAAAGAAAATCACAGAAACAACAGAGCACTGTACGAGTAGTCATCAAGAAACTACAAAGAATTCAGTGATTATTTCGTTCCTTCCACTGTTCCATTTCCATTTGCTTCCCAATGACGATTAGTCATCGTTTAGACAACTGTAACATTTTTGGGTAAATTCGAAAGTATATTCCTCCCTGGATATTTACATCTTTTGTCAAACCTGCTATCGTCAAACTATCTACATCTGTTATTTCCTGGCCTCCGGAAGGGGAACAAAAACAGGATAGTAGGTATTCAGTTCAAGATGTTCCAGGATCTGCTGGGCAGCTGACAGGTACGAAGAATGGCCATCAACAAGCTCGGTAACATCAACCTGCAAATCGTGCACAGTAAATAGTAAAAACAATGAAACCTCGCTAAAAACACAAAAATTATCATCCAGATGCTTACGTTTTCAACGCCAGGTACATCAATGGCCTGGATGCCAGCCAGCCCTTGGGTGAGTAGGCTACATCAGAGAATTAGTAAGTCAGTGAATATATCGACTTAACTGTTCCAGCAATGACTATCCAATTCGAAATCAAACCCATTTTGTTTACCTTGCACGGAAGGTCACACCGAGAATCCAGTCATCTCTCGAGTACACATTCACAAATCTCCCTGCAACCATCTGCAGTGAAACAGAGGCTAGTTAAGTGATATAAGCAGGCAAACACTACCTTTACGGGGCATATTTGTTGCTGAAGATTACTGGTATCTCTGCATTTTAAGTGGAGAAGGGATAGTTATTGCTGTACCTTCCTGGCAAGCTCCCACCTCTCACCTTTCACTGAAACTGGTGCACCAAGGAGTACAACCCTCTCGACAAGTCCCTCTGATTCATTCCATCAAGCATAAGATCAAAGTTATATGAAATTTAGGTTACTATAAATAAAGAACAGATACCATTGTCGTTTGATAAAGCTAGCTCCTGTAAGCACTTGAATATGACTCGTGCTCCAAGCGAGAACCCAATAAGAGTCACAGGCCTGAGAAGTTTAGAATCAGGAAAAAAGGTAGTTGGGGGAACTACTGTGTTGGATGACACTTTTTGTAGTTGGAACTACCTGTTTCCTTGCAGTCCCTTCAGAAGCACTTCTGCGAGCATTTTTCCTGCCTTATCTGATCTGAGAGGATACAGTTCATCAGTTAGCTAAACAAGTTGTTAGGTACACTACAGGTATTCTGAAGTGTTCTAGCTGGTAAATTAGTGCGGAGAAATATTAATACTGGAAACAATGTACTACGAGAGTTTGCATTTACCTGTTGATAGCAACAGACCATTTACTGTCAATAAAATCTGTAGCGGCAAGCAACGTAGCAGGCCAAGCAAATGCTGCAAGAAGGCCACTTAAGACAGTTCTCATAGCACCTTGTTTCATCAATTCCATTGCAAGTCCTGCATAATTAACAAGAACACTAATTACAAGGTGTTCACTAACAGTAGTACAAGGCAGAGTACAAAACCCTGAACATTACTTGATGTCAGCCAATCCTGTATTGCTGTACTCACTGCGATTATATGCTTGGACTCCCATTGAAGGATGTACCTGTCAAACATTAATCAAAAGTGTAAGTAACAATGCTCCACCCTTATAGCATAGATGTAAAATATGTGACTAGGATTCATACAACAAATATGAGAATACATTCCATACTTCTCTAGGTTATCCTTCCAGCCTTCCCAAGGTTTACAGAAATCCTCCTCATCAAATGCAAATCCAGAAACCAGGATGCCAACAGCAAGGCGCTGAAAGAGTTGCCAACATTTACAAAGACCAAATAAGTTTGATTCCAAAATGGGTGAATGGCATTTTAGTCAGAGAGAGAAAAGGGACTCACACCCTGATTATGGTTATCACCAATAGGTTTGAACTCAAATTCTTTCACTTTACCAATTCGTCTTGCCATTTTGGTGCCCGTCAAGCCAGCCCCAGCAGCTAATTTGTAAAAACAAAAATCAATTCAAGGAACATTAAAAGCTAAGCACAACACTTGTACACCACTTTCTATCTCTTTTTTTGATACTGCATTACAGCTTGTACAGGAAATTCATTTGGGAACAATTTTAATAATTTATAAATGTGTCAGTGCTTATACAGAGGGGTGCATATTCATTATTTGTGTAGGTTTCCTAAGCAATACAGTAACCACCATAAATAATGGAGGCAGTTGTTGCTAACTTAAAACAAATCTTGACTGTTAGACTGCCCAGGACATATATATAATGAAGAAATAAGAGCTCCAGATAATAGCATAAGAGTTTCCAAGGAACATTTATACCAACCTCCAAATGAGGCAGCAACTGCCACGGAGCCAGCAACAGATCCTGCCGCAGCAGCCATAGCAGCAAATCCACTAGCCCCTATGAAAGGGACAAGTGTGCCCAGTGTTGGAGCTAGAGCACCAAATCCTGCAGCAATGGCTGGTGCAGCTAAACCTGTCGGGTCGAAGAGAATGAGAGCATATGAATCACCTGGTGTAGTGTGTCCAAGTGATGCCAAGATGTTCAGAATTTCATTAGATATATTATCTGGAATGCAGTCCTACCCCCAGTAATAGCCAACAATGCTCCTCCAGTCAACGCAGCGGCACCAATAATTCCCCCACGCTTCCATTTCTGCCACTTGCTTTTTGGTGATGCGTTTTCACGCTCTTGTTCTTGTTCTTTTGCTGCGGCCATGGCAGAGCATGCGACCATCACCTCCATAGCTTCCTATAATGCCAGGATTGATGATTACAAGTCAAATTCGAGCTATGTGGAAATAGTATACAAGCATACGAATGAGTTATGAGTTTCTCTCAGGGCTTTCTTTTTTAGTCGAGATTAAACACCATCAACTTTCACTGTGCAACACTGAGAAGAAGGAATAACTTGTACTAACCATTTTGATCCACTTAACGTCAAGCCATGCTGCTATCAACCGAAGAGCGACACGATGCCGAGCATCATACCCCTTCCTGAAGTGAGATGACTTCCTGTCCTCTTCCTCTTGCGAGATGGGTTTATCAGCGACACAGGCGGAGAGAAGCGCATACAGCAATGCCATCTTGCAATGATCATTTGCGGGAACATCTTCCAAGGACAGCTTGTCGATTCCAAGCAAGTTCTCGGACGAGCCTGCCTCCAGAGACTCCTGTGTAGCAGAGGTACAAGCCGTGGAGTCTTTACTCTCTTCTTTGATCTTCTCGTCAGGCACATTTTCGCTGCCCAAGCTCATGACCATAACATCAACTGCTTTCGCCAAGGCAAGCTCCTGCTCCAGTCTGTCTGAAGAGCTCTCGCCGTCTTCCTCAAAGATTATCCTTAGAAACTGCAAAATCGAGGAGTGAAAGGGTTAGATATATTCACGGCATTGGCACTGAAGTTTGAAACGCTTTGCAGAGAGATCATTGGCTGGCTCAGCAACCGAGATTTGGTAGCAATTTGATGGGGATGGGTTTGAACCCTACAATACAACTAGAAGTATAGACGGTGCTCCGAATGGAACACCGGAACCCCCAAATCGAGCCCCGCGGCAGTGACCCGCCGAAACACATACCCAACTAGTACTACTGTAATAAGTAGGTGAGCACAGATAACACGATCGGGTGGGATGGAAGGGCCCGTACCGCGCCGATGTGATGCTTGGCGTCCGGAGACGCGGCCGTCTCCTCCATCCCCGCCCACGCCATGGGCTCGATCTCCAGGAACCTAAAGCACGACACAGGAGGCACGGATCGCAAGTGAGTGAGAGACGCGAGCGGCCACGCCGGCGAGTTAGCTACACGGCACCTGAAGACGGGGCGGAGGAGGCCGCGGGAGTCGTGCGTCCAGAGGCCGGCGCCCGAGGCGGTGTCGGAGCCGCTGCTGATGGTGGCGGTGGAGGAGGAGCTCCCGCTGGCGCTGCTGGCGCGCTCCTCATCATCGGGTCCGGGATCAGGGGAGCCGGAGCCGGAGCCGGAGCCGAGGGGTGCGGACTGGTGGATCTGCGCCTGGCGGAGCGCCAGCGCCAGCAGCGCCCCCGCCGCGTAGCGCTGCGTGGGCGTCAGCGTGGTCGCCATGGGTTTGGCGGGTGTAGTGGCCGCCTGTCGCGCGGCGGCAGCTCGTTGGGGGAAATTTCGGTGGCGGGGGCGTGGGAGCCGAGGGAACTGGGGACAATGCGAGGAGGAGGCTTGACTTGGGCGGCGCCGGCGCGGCCTGCTGCTGGTTGACTGCTTCTGTCCGCTGGACTCTGGACACCCGCAGAAGGAAGCCCGTAAGCTGTTGTATGCTCATCGTGGGCCGCTACGCCACGACTCCGCTCCGTTGTCCACGGGCCGAATCGAGCAAACTGCATGGGCCGCAATGCCACCGGTGAGACATCATTTGTGTCGTGTCGATTCGCATGTCAAAGCGCCGCGCGCAGCATCATGTGTGCTGTGTGCCTGTGTCGCTCTGTGGTGGTGCGTTGAAGCAGCTAGTTCACGGGTGGCGTGATCGCCACCGCACATGGATGGCGCACCTGTGGCGATTTCAGCAGATCATCCACCGCGTGGCCTGCATGCCTCCTCGACGACCGACGACCGTGCACATCGTCCTTGCCCGATCCGCTCCACGCTTCCCTTCCTACTCTTCCGCAGCCATCCATGCTCCATTTGCACCGTCCGTCTATCCGATCATCCCTGGCTGGCTAATGTAATGTAATGGATACGGACACCGGACACGATCCTACTAGCTTGTTCCACACCGATCCGCCCAACTTGTTTCCAAGTCTATGTTCTGTTTGATTACCACCACTAGTACGTACAGTATTTCTCAACGCTAGTCAGTGACCAATCTGAGGGGTTTCTTCCCATTATCTTCTAAACATATAGCCCCTCCTTTCAAGCTTTCATTAGGTACTAATTGGAAGGGGCTCCATGCTTCTAGTAGCGGTAGCGGTAGCGGAGGCTCGAGCCCACCCCGCCCCGGTGCTTCATCGATCAGCCCCTGACTCTAGCGCACGCCCTACATTCATTAGATACATAATGAAATGAAACGTATATTAATAGATTATCTATTCGAGATCACAGATGTTAATAATACTTCTTCTACAACTTCAATCAAACTTACGATGGTTTGACTTAGGACGGCTGAAGATACATGGCTACCTCGGCCCCCAGAGAAAATGGCCTTAGGCCATCTCCTGTGACAGGGCAAAAGCGACTCATGAGTCCTAGCTAGACCGCGATGAATCGAATCACCTCACTGCAACCGACTCACCATTGGTGATGCTCTTATAGGTTTAGTAAGAATCAAACTATTATAAATTTGATCAAATTTATAAAAGATGTATCAATATTTATGATACCAAATTAGTAGAATTAAATTTGTTAGGTAATATAGTTCCATTGTATGGCTTTATAAACACTGCAAATTTTGTCACACTTATATGATAGTTTCACTTCGACTAATAAACCTATAATGTTATACTTTTTCAGGATGGAGGGAGTGTATACTCTGACATAGCCTAGAATCTTACGTTAGAAGTTCCATGGATAAATTTGGTAAGTACAACTAGTCAAAATTGATCATCTTTACTCTCATAATAACGTACATTTCCATGCTCTGTAATCTCTGTCCGTTTGTTGTAAAGTTACCAATTACTCTATATATGTTATCATCTTTGTTTACTTTGATTTGAATTTAGCACCGGTATGGAAACATGTATAGTGTACTTTGTGGTTGTTTGATTTTTTCTATAACAATTAATATTAGTAATTAAGAAGTAGATTTGAAAAGTATTTTAGTTTATGTTTTATGATGATATACGTGGGTAATCTAAATGCAATTTAAAGGGTTCCTTTTAGTACCTTTCATAGTTTCAGAGGTGAATAATTTTTTTTAAATAAGGGCTACAGACTTACCATGTTTCTGATTCTCACGAGAAATTCTAAGATTTAAATTTTTCCTAGCATACCTCGTGAGGAATAACATGGCGGCTCTATTAGATTATTACTTCAGTTAGTAATTTTAAGATGTGATATCTACGTGTGCACACTCATTGGTTCGTTTCCACGATCTGCTTATATAGCTTTATAATAATAAATATACACGCCCTCTTGGTAGTTTTGTAAATAAAATGGGCATCTACTCATGAACCATTCGAACCGACGATGCGTGAGAACGAGAATGATCATGCATGGTCCAAGCAGCCGCTGATGCCGGTCACCATCAGAGACGAAAGAAGGGCGATAAACAAAAGCAGGTGCAAAAGATGTCCCAGAGCATAAGGGGATATATTGCACTGGACGATTGCTCTGTAGTAATAAAACTAAAGCAATGCAAATAGAGATAGGTAGCTAGCCATCGCTGATTAAACTAAACATCTAGTAATATATATATATATATATATATATATATATATATATATATATATATATATATAGCCGGCCAATTGATTCCCATATAGACCTAGCTTGTTGCCACATATAATATAATATACAAAATGCAGAAGACAGGACGGGCCCATGACATCACGGACACGGTTAGATAGATGTTAGAGACTCCATCCATGGTGGTTGAGGTGTATCTAGCCACTGGGCGGCGGCGTCACGGAGTTTTCTTTTCTAGCCTAGTCGTCAACTCGTCGTCGTCATGCATCTCGACCGACCGAACCGAGACGAACAAGCATTCAGGTGAGACCACCACCATCAGGATTCAGGAGCGCGCGCCGGCGGACCAGGCCACAACAAAATGTAACGCCGCATGCTACAAAACTTATTATTAGCGGCGGGGCCGACCGAGATACCGCAACGACGTCACGAGATGATGCGGCGCCCTCTCTGTTTTAATTTGTTTTTAAAAGAGAGAGTTCACATTTAAATTTGATTAATTAATGTCAAAGTATTCTTTTTTTCTACAAAATTTACAGAAATAGTATCAACAATTATGGTTTTAAATAGAAACAGTGTAAAGATATACTTATTTCATGATGAACCTAAGGACACTTATTTCAGCCTGAGCACGGAGAAGGATCGATCACGGCATCATGCATGCATGACGATGCATTGGATTGATCGAATGGAGCTAGCGAGGAATCGAATCGAATAATCGATACACAAATGAAACACAGACTAATTAACTAGTAGCGATGTGCTCCCACCCCCACATCCTCAGCCGGCCGCCGGTCGCTTGCGAGAGACAGTCAGAGATGCGACGCGACGGCCATTTCCCGCCCGGTGGTTTGGCTGTGTGCTTTCATCACGACCGGGACGTACGCCCCACCAGCCCACGACGCCGCCGCGCACCACCAGTCCACCACCACGACGGCGACGACGATGAGCTGATCGATCGACGAGGCCCGACGACGACGACGAGACCGAGGGGCTCCACGTATATATATGCACATATACACGCCACACGCAACGTACCGCCACTTGTGCTGATTTATAAGGCTGATTCGTTGTGAGAGAAAATATTGCCACTACACAAAATACCGAGGCGGACGTTTTCGGTTTTCCGCATGGCCTCTACACGGCTTTGCTTCGCCGCGGTTAATCGATTTAGCGGCGGGGCCGGCCGAGATACCGCGGTAAATATACGTCACGACGCGGCATGTTAGGGCGCCCTCTCACGGTTAATCATTTAAAAAAAAAAAAAAACCAGAGCCAACCGGGCGAGCCCATTTCGATTGGCGAGCCCACCGGCGACGGATCCGGGCTTCCCACGGCCAAGAATTTAGGGAGAAATAGTAGCAACAATTATGGTTTTCTGGAGAAGCCGGCCGACACGCCGACGCCACTCGCAGGCAGGCCGCCACCACAGCCGCCAGACGGGATATAGCTTATTTCCTCGCGGATGAACCGCTGGTGGTGGAGGGAGGCCACGCCACAGCGGCCTTGCCCGCCGTGGTGGAGGACGGAGAAGGATCGATCATGGCATGTGGTGGAGATCCACCGCCGGATCCATCACTCCACCGCAGATGACGATCCGTGGGGAGGAGGTCGCCGCCGCCGGATCCGTGGAGGAAGAGGTCGCCGTCGCGGATGGAGAGAGGAAGAGGGAGGAGTGAGGGAGATGGAGAGGAAGAGGAGATGAACTCACTGGATTTGAAACACGTTGTTCATGGAGGATCCATGGGGGGGGAGGACTAATGTCGCTAGTAGCGATGTGCTGCCCCCACAAGCACCTCGATCCGCCGTCTGGAGGCCCGCGCTTTGGAGGAGGGCCGGTCGCATCGAGGGAGAGAGAGAGAGGAGAGAGAGGAGGCAGAGGAGAGGGGAGGCGGAGAGATGAGAGAGAGAGTGGGTGAGGGGGATTTGGCAGAGAGAAAGTGGGGAGGCGGCTACGATGGTGCGAGGATGTGGGTGATATAGTTTGTTGATCGATTACACCGTGGAAGTCGTCTTAAGATGTCCGGCCGAAAATACTATTTTCATGGCGACATCTTAAAACGTCCGCCACGGTAAATCGACGACGGCGGCATCCTAAAATGTCCGCCACGGTCGATCGACAGGGCGCGACATCTTAAGACGTCCGCCACGGTAAATCGATTTACCGTGGCGGGCAAAAATGCCCGCCATAGTAAATAAAAAAATGCCCGCCTAGGTAAACCGTGGCATTTACCGTGACGTGCAAAAATAGGTGCCCGCCTCGGTGGCCTCCGGGCGGTGTCGCGCAAAATCATTTGTGTAGTAGTGTACCATGACTGATAAGTCGACTTATTAGAGCAGCCGAACATAGCACTCATGAGATGAGCCCCTGCCTGACCGACAAAACTGTTAGGTGGAACATTGCCATTGCGAATACTACGACTTCATCTCTCTATGTGCCCGATCACGACGCCACAATACCCTCCAAACTAGCTATACATACATACTATATCATCCATATATGCATTATATATATAATACTGCTTCAACAGATTTTCACAGGATAATAAATGTATAGGAGGAGTACGCAGATACATGCAACACAGACGAACACGCATGCAAGAAAAAAGAAGCAGCAACTCGATCTCTTTCTTCTATTTATATATATATGTACGTATACAATTGTAGTTACTACTATATACACATTTGATTGATTGGAGTAGTGGCCGCGAATTCCATCCTCCTCCTGTTCGTTTTATCTCAGCTGTTGCATTGCATGCGCTTTTAATTTGGTGGCTAATATAATGACCTAGCTACTACTAATATAATCCATCATTCCCAAATAAAGATGACAAGCAAATCACCCCCCAATAATCCCAAAGAAATGAGAATAAAGGCGTCTCCTCCTCCGTCCACTCAAGTCCTTGTCCAAACAAGCCAGATGTCTGTTCTTCTGGTAGCCTTCAGCACCGGCTCCTGTTCCTCACCAACCCAATACCCAATAGAGGGCGAGGTGAGCAATCGCATCCCACGGCCACAATGCGCGCCACGTCGGATGATATCAGAGCATGCATCTGATTCCCCCCTGCACCACCACCCTCCCTCGCCTCGCCAGCCATGGGTGTACGTGTCACCTGTCACGGTCTACTACAGCTTCCCACCGGCGGCGGTGGACACGACGACCGAGGACCGGCCGTGCTGCAGCTGCTCCAGGGTCCGCACAACGTCGGCCATGGACGGCCGGAGTCCCGGGTTGTTCCCGACGCACGCGGCCGCCAGCGCCACCACGGCCGCCGCCTCGCGGGCGTCGTACCGGCACCCCAGCCTCCGGTCCACGAGCTCGCAGGCCACGCCGTCCCCCGCGGCGGCGGCGAGCTTCGGCGCCACGGACGCCGTCAGGAGGCGGCCGTCGTGGAACGCCTGCACGCCCGTGAGCAGCTCCAGCAGGAGCACGCCGAAGCTGTACACGTCGCTCTTCTTGGTGACCACGCCGGAGCGGAGGTAGTGCGGGTCCACGTAGCCCGGGGAACCCAGCACCGCGCGCACCCGCGGGCGCGGGCAAGAGACAGGGCCAGGGCGGGCGACGACGGCCGCCGACAACCCCGCGCGCGCCGACCCGAAGTCGCAGAGCCTGGCGCCCATGCCCGCGTCCAGCAGCACGTTGGACGCCTTCACGTCGCCGTGCACCACCTGCGGCTCGCACCACTCGTGGAGGTACTCCAGCGCGCGGGCCACCTGCAGCACCACCGACACCCGCCGCGCCCAAGGCATCGGCGCCGCCGTGGCATCGCCGTGGAGCTGCTCGTGCAGGTTCCCGTTCGGCGCGAACTCCAGCACCAGCACGCCTTCGTCTGCATGCATGCGTGCACGGTTCGATCGGTCATCAGAGACTCAGAGGCTGGCTGTCACAGGCCCGTGCCCAACGAAACGAACGAATGAACTCTACCTCGCTGGTCGCAGAAGCCGAGGAGGCGGACGATGTGGGGGTGGCGCACGCGAAGGAGCGCATCGAGCTCCTGGCGAAACGCGCGGTGGAGGCGCTCGCTGCTGCGGTGGACCTTGACGGCGGCGAGGGACCCGGCGAGGCGGGCGAGGTAGACGGTGCTGAAGCCACCCTCGCCGACGACGGCCGACGTGAAGCCCCCCGTCATGGCCTCCACCTGCGCCCACGACAGCTGCCTCGCGGTGGCGGCAGCGACACCGGCACCGGTGCCGGCCGCGCTCTTGGCGCCGCGCGGCTGGCCATCGGCGGCGTCGTCTCCCGAAAAGGGCGCGCGGCCGCCGACGGCCACGGCCGCGGCGCTGCCACCGCACCCGCAGCAGAGGAGGCCGCCGCGCCTTTGCAGCAGCATCGATCGATCGTCCCTGCCGGCTGCCTCTCGTAGTCGCACTCGCACGCACCGGTGGCCGGCCGGTGGCGGTGGGGGAGCCTGGAAGAGGACGGAGACGCACTACTCGTGCAGGTTCTGGCGCCGCGTGTGCGCGGTGCAGGGGTTTATATAGTAGGTGCCCGGGCCCGGCGAGGAGCAGCCATGACCATGAACCGGCCAATTCGATCGGCGGCCGCAGGGTGCGCGCGCGCGCCAGGTAGGGATTATTTGGAAGGCGACGTCGACGTGAAAAGGTACGGTGAGTCGGTGACCGTGAAATGGTAGTTGTAGTAAACCTAAACCCAAGCCCATCACCGGTCGTCAGTGTAAAAAGGCGATTTTTAGCCTGTTAAGTTCTTTGGATTAAAAAACAGTTCAAACCTTGGGCACGCTCCAGGAGGAAAAACCATCACTACCTTTACGCGACTGGATATTGGCATATTGGTTGGAAATGGTCAAGTGGGCCTACTAGGGCAGTCCAATTCTCCCATTAAAATGGTGTTCAGCTCCGATTAATAACTAGGGCATCGTCACCGCTTGCTGATATCTAGAAAGAGTACGTGAGAACGAGGGCAGCTAGATGATGACTTACGAGCTAATTTTAAGCATATTATTTCATATTTTAATAGAAAATAAAAAAATACTACCTATTAATCAAAACTAGTCTCACACACACACACACGTAGGGTTGTCATGTGAACCTATTCATATCATTAGTTATGTGCTAAATATTAATAATATTGGAGAAATTGCCTTAGAGATAGTTGCTACCTCAAATTGTTAGGGGTGTTCTAAGAGAAGAAAGAGGAAGTAACGAACCTCCTTAGGTTTCCTCAACAAGCATAACTAAATCACCAATTGGATGGAAATGAAAAAAAAAAAGAAAAAATTTGTCTGCCGCATAGCATAGACATGAGTGGGTCATGCCACAGAGACATTGGATTCATGGGAAATTGTGCTAGCTGAGCGACAAATTCATCGCTAGCAACCAGATTCTTAGATATTCTCTCCTCTTCACGTAATCAAATAGCTAGCTAGGAATACCTTTTTGGGACGCCTTTACTAACGATCCTAGATCCACTACTGAGACTGCATCACTCTCTAATTACAGTGTACAATCCTCGGCCATAGGTTCCACTAAATTAGTAAAACGAGTTAAAGAATACAGTTTCACCAACGGTATCACTCCGTGCATGTGATTTTTCTCTTAGCGCAAGCTGTTGAAGCTACATTGAACTAAGGCGCATTTAGTTCCTTCGCTCGTCTCGTCTCACCTACCAAAGTGAGCTTTGCTAGCGTGAGTGAGCCAATCTTGCTCTCCTCTAGCAGTAAGGGAAAATGTTGCTAGCATAAACCCAAAGGCAAACTCACTTAGAAATTAAACTAAATGCTTGTTCTACCTCGATTTTTGTCCAAGTAAGGGGAGGCAAGGTATGGCCAAAGAACCAAATGTGCCTTACTTTCTATTGAGGGCAGTTTTTTTCTCCATTCGAGCATCGCCCTTGCAATGTGTAAATCAGTGCTTTGATATTCTCTTTCATTTCGCAGCATAGGAAAAAAATCATACATTGTGGGCTTGTGGCTATTCTTATAGCGTCACATATGATGTTTAGCGCTACATTAGATGTGAGCGCATAAAAAAAGGGAAAACTGGTCTCATGCAAGCCATATTCCATGAGAAAAACAATGCACTAGACACTACCAAATTTTCCATTGAAAAAATGGTTTCTTCTTGATAGGTGGGAAAAATGACTTTTTTTACCGAATCAGCAGAGGAGTCCCCTACCTATTTTTTTGATTTTCCATTAAATAATGGATAAAAAATGACTAGTGGATATGAATAGAAGAGACACACTATAGTAAATAATTTAAACGGCTTAATCCCTTAGAACATTGGCTATATTCATTATATAGTTGGCATAATTGATACATCTTTTAGTAGGACTCCAATAAGTCTACTTGGATTACATGTACAATACTACATTTAAACCTATTAGACCTCTGGGATTCCATCTCTATCTCTAATTGTACATATCTACACTTGTAACAATACAACTCACTTATATCATCTTCCTTTTAAGATAATGGAATTAAACATCCGGCTTCATCCCCTCATTGGAGGAGGAATCACACTAAAGTTATTACAAAGTTCCGATCCGGCTTCATATCTCATTAGAGTAATCGGACCAAATTTGCTACAAAGTTTAACACACAAAAAGTTATATAGTTCATAGAGTACCTTTAATTAAAACCAAGCCAAAAAGTGAAGGGCCGTATGTGGGATGCAGATAAAGTTATTGCTGCAGCCTTTTCTCTAGCGGAAATGCTCTCGCTTGTTTCCTTCGTGCCGGACACTTTTTTAACTAGACCAGAATCTATACAGCCTGCCAACGGCCCAACAATCTTCACCTTTCTCTCCCACGCCGCTGCTCGTCTCCCTCACGCGGTTTCTCGTCTCCCTGACGATGATGCGGTTGCTCATCTCCCCAATGTAGCTGTTCCGCTGGCCGCCTTACCCCCTCACTGCCTGCTTTCCTCCCTCACAACCCCATCTGCCCGCGCCCGTCCTTGTTCTTCCCTCGCCGCTGCACCCGCTCACCTTCCTACCTTTTCTTTTTTTCTCAAATACGCGGGAGAATTGCGTATCATTGTATTAATAGTAGAGAAAGGAGTCATACATAGACCCAAACACACACACACACACACACACACTTACTGACTGAGATGAAAGACCTGACCAAAGACCTAACCATCATCCCGAGCTGTGTGCTAGGATAGTCCCTTAGCACTAGCTAAAGACCACAAAAGGGCTTCCTCCCAAGCAAGGTTCAAAGCCATAGACAGTCTATGTTTCAGTTATCAATGTTAGGGATACCTGAAAGAAGGAAGCTAATGGTCGTGAACGCTTGAGCGTATTTTGGTCTCGCCCGACCCCGAAGGTACGGGCTCAGTCCCGCCTGAACCCAAAGGTGCGGGCTCCGTGTCGCCCGACCCCTTGGGCGCGGGCTCTCGTCTCGCTCGACCCCTTGGGCGCCGGGCTCTGTCACGTCTGAGCCCAAGGGTACGAGCTCCGTCTCGCCTGACCCCTCGGGCGCGGACTTTGCCTCACTAGAACCCTCGAAGGGGAATTTCGCCTCGCCGACGGGGGTTCATACCGCCTCCAACCACTATGGGTGTAAGAGTACGAAACTAGGGTCAAACTTCTGACACTAGAAAGGGAGTAGACGCGTCTTGATGTGACCCATGATCACGATGGGCCATACCTGAGGATCACGTCACCAATAGTGTCGGGCATGCCGGCGCTATGCTACCTAATCCCCGTACGACTTCCAACGGGGGTATCTACTAACCATGCCGCCCGTCGGGACGGAATGGAGCACCACGACCGGCTAACGATGCCCACGTATAGTGTCAGTGATGAACAGGGTCACGACGTGAAGCCATCCCCATCATCATCTACAGGACCGACGTGACCCGTGTAAAGGAGATGAAGGGCACCGCAACCTCGGAGGCCTTCTTCCTCCTCGCTTCTCTCTCTCTCTCTCTCGTGTAACCTGCGTCTTCCCCTTCAACTATAAAAGGGGAAGCAGGATGCCCCATGAAGACGACGGCAAAATGCTGAAAGGAACTAAGTTCAACTAGACTCAACTCCATTCGATCCTTCCATCAGATACTTGGGACCTTCTCCCTCTCTCGCCCGTTTGTAATCTCTACTGCAAACAAGTGCCGGTAACACGAGCAACCTCAAACTGGACGTAGAGACATTTTGTCCGAACCAGTATAAACTCTTGTGTCCTCCGAGCACACCATTCGGGCCAGACGTGCAAACACAAATTTACTAGTCGGCGGTTGAAACACCGACAGTTGGCGTGCCAGGTAGGGGCCTTTTGTGCGTCTCATCATCCACAACAGGCCATGGATGGCTAGCCACGGCATTATCTGGGTTCCAGATGTGCACGTGTGCTTCGAGAGCCTGGATTTCTTCGTCACCACGGAGGGAGAGCTGGCGCGGGCTCCCGCCCTTGTTCAACTTCTTTGCTCCACCGGCCTGGACAAACTGTTAAGGCCCTCGAGGAGCTACAGCTACACGCCCCAGAGGCCCGTGCCCCTAGGAGTGACCATCTCCTTAGCTTCAATTACGGGAGGCTGGAGCGCCAGCTTGATGCCTTCCTAGGACCCCGACCATCCTGGGAGGACCTGTGTTGCCTCACCTTCTCGTTCGCCAATGTCATGATGCAGCTTGCCGGAGGGGAACCACTCTCCCCGAAATACCTCACCCGGAGCGCCCCGATAGCATTCCCGTTCGATCTGCGCAATGCCGCAAGGACCATTGGTCACCTCATGACGCAGCGCATGCACCCGTCCCCCACGGATGATGAATTCATGGGTATGACGGACTATGTCGTGGAATCTTTCCATGACCTTCTTACGAGAGATTCAGAGACAATCTCTGACTCAGACTCCAGTAGGGGAAGCCATCACCCCTCACGAGAATGCTTCATGGTAGGCACCCCAAGGGGTGTGTTGAAAGCGTCCATGAGGGAGGGGCTACTCCTATGAATGACCTCGGCAATGATGTCGAAGGAGATGTAGGGGCCCCGCCTCGCCTGCAGGTGGAGCAGCTGAGGGCATGGCACAAGGAGATCGAGGATGCGTGACTCCAGCTGGAGCGAGGCGTGTGGAGCTCGAGCATGAGATCGAGCACCGCGGAGACGGTGGCCATGCGTGCGCCATCGCCCGCGACGTAAACCAGAGGATCATCGAGGACGACGGAGGCCTTCCGCACTTCACCCGGGCAAGCCAGAACATAGCTACCACGGTGGCCTTGCTTCGAGGGCTTCCGGAGTCCGCGACACATGAAGAACGTCAGGCCCATCGTGAGATCCACACGCTACTCAAGCTTGCGGTGGTGCAATAGGCAGAAAGCTCGTTGTCTTGGTGATATGAGCTCGATGCCAGTCAGCGTGTGTCTTCGAGGCGAC